AGCCTCCGCCTGGAGAGCGGAAGGTCGCGGGTTCGTTCCCCGACCGCGTCATACCAAAAGACGTGAAAATATGGTACTTGTTGGTCCCTGCCTGGCGCTCGGCATTAATGGGTACAACAAGGACTGGTCGGCTCAGAGTCATTATAATGTCTGAGTGGGGTATTCATGCTTCACTGCGGCATGATATCTCAGTGGGCTAGCACTATAAAACCAGCTTAAGCCTGGGCTAGTACAAGCAGCCGCACGTATTACACATACACACGCATGCACGTCGTCATATGAGCGAAATATTCTCAAGCACGACGTTAAACCCAATTTCACCTCACCTCAAGAAACGCCGACATCCTCTCCATCAAGATACGTCTAAATACGACATCCTCTACATCCAAGACACGCCTAAATACGACATCCTCTACATCAAGACTACGCCTAAATACGACATCTTCAACATCAAGACACGCCTTAATACGACATCCTCTACATCAAGACACGCCTAAATACGACATCCTCTACATCAAGATACGTCTAAATACGACATCCTCTACATCAAGATACGTCTAATTACGACATCCTCTACATCAAGATACGTCTAATTACGACATCCTCTACATCAAGATACACGCCTAAATACGACATCCTCAACATCAAGACACGCCTAAATACGACATCCTCTACATCAAGACACGCCTAAATACGACATCCTCTACATCAAGACACGCCTAAATACGACATCCTCTACATCAAGAAGACATGCTGCCTAAATACGACATGCTCTACATCAAGATACGCCTAAATCTAAATACGATGCATCCTCTACATCAAGATACGTCTAAATACGACATCCTCTACATCAAGATGCAAGATCTAAATACGACATCCTCAACATCAAGACACGCCTAAATACGACATCCTCTACATCAAGACACGCCTAAATACGACATCCTCTACATCAAGACACGCCTAAATACGACATCCTCTACATCAAGATACGTCTAAATACGTTCGACATCCTCAACATCAAGACACGCCTAAATAAATACGACATCCTCTACATCAAGACACGCCTAAATACGACATCCTCTACATCAAGACACGCCCTAAATACGACATCCTCTACATCAAGATACGTCTAAATACGACATCCTCTACATCATCAAAGTAACTTTGCGGGATCTGGTCAAGTGGACTTGTGCTCGGCATGGACATGACGCCCCAAGCTGCTTTCACCAAACTAACTTTGAGCTACGTACTGGCGACAAACCTGAGTATCGAGGAAAAGAAAAAGGTTTGAGAGGAATACTGCTTTTATTAGGTTTTCAGTCTTATTACAACGTGTATCCTTAAACTAGACTGACTTTCTACAAGTCCAATGTAGGAAACCAGCGGGTGTATAAATATTGTTCGAGTGAGTTAAGTTTTTGTCACTCAGCAATATTCCAGCTATATGGCGGCGGTCTGTAAATATTCGTTTCTGGACCAGACAATCCAATGATTAAGAGCATGAATATCGATCTACGCATTTGGGAACGGATGACATGTGTCAAACAAGTCAGCCTGATCCCAAGTCAGTCTGACCACCACCGACCCCGTTAGTCGCCTCTTACGACAAGCATGGGTTATTGAAGATCAATAATTCTAACCCGGATCTGAACGGGTCAAATATTGTTTGACATGAAGGGTATATGACCACTGAACAGTTGACGTCATTCCTTTTAACTAGTTCAGAACGTTTCCAGTTCAGACAGTTTCTAGTTTCTAGTTCAGATCAGTAGAAGGTAATTGGCTTTTTGGTGATACAGATCAACATCAGATCACTGATATAGTTGAAACAAAAATAACCCAAGCTAAAGGAAATAGATAAGTATAAGCGGGGCTACGCTTGGAGTGCGTCCTACCCGCTTAAATATCTTAGCCCCACTTTTGCATAGATGTTGTCAATAAGAAAATTTATCTATGAAGTTCGGATTGTATTTGCCATTTTTGGATAAATAGTCTGAAATTTGGAAAAGAATTGAAACCTATATTTATTAACGAATGCAGGGGGATGGGGCAGGAGGTGGGTCGAGGGTGCCAGAGGCCAGGGGCAGGGGCAGGGGCAATGGCAGGGTCAGGGGTCAGGGGCAAGGACGGGGCAGGCTAGGGGGCAATGGCAGGGTCAGGGGCAGGACAGGGCAGGACATGCTGACCATTAGCGTCAATGCTTCTCAAAAAATATATTTCTGTGACCGCCACCACATTTTGAGACCAATCTATTTTGGCGATAATCAAGACTGACTTTGACGCTGCCGTTTTCCATTCCTTTACAGTTGCTGCTGCAGAATCTTAGAGGCGAAATCACGGTGAAGACATCTGATTCTGAAGAGAAAAAACGATAAACAAGAATTTGTAGTGGGTGTCAGATTATAATGGAGTAAACATATGCTCAACCAACAGTACTTGACTACTTTTTGTAAACCTTAACTTAAAGGCTTCTGTATATGCTTATGGCTCATGATCTACTTGCGTCTCATTATCCCCTACTTCCGTCTCATATTACTTCCGTCTCACTACTTCCGTCTCATGATCCCTACTTCCGTCTCATGATCCCCTACTTCCGTCTCATGATCCCCTACTTCCGTCTCTTGATCCCTATTTGCGTCTCATGATCCCCTACTTCCGTCTCGTGATCCCCTACTTGCGTCTCGTGATCCCTACTTGCGTCTCATGATCCCTACTCCCGTCTCGTCACTTCCGTCTCATGATCCCCTACTTCCGTCTCTTGATCCCCTACTCCCGTCTTCTCGTGATCCCCTACTTCCGTCTCATGATCCCCTACTTGCGTCTCATCATCCCCTACTTCCGTCTCATGATCTACTTCCGTCTCCCTACTTCCGTCTCCTGATCCCTACTTCCATCTCATGATCCCCTACCCCCCTACTTGCGTCTCCCTAATCCCTACTTTCGTCTCGTGATCCCCTACTTCCGTCTCCGTCTCGTGATCCCCTACTTGCGTCTCGTGATCCCTACTTGCGTCTCGTGATCCCCTACTTACGTCTCAGACTTAAACGTTTCAGCTGGTGTGTCAGATTAGCTATAACCATGAGGAAAGCTCAGGTGTGCCTGAACTTGTGTAGAATATCTGCATCTGCAACCTGTCTGGTTTTCTTTCATGAAGGTTGACTTGTACTATCATACTCACTTATGATTAATGAAATGGGCTTGACGCTTCAATTATGTTCTGCTACATCGTGATGTCACCGACATACTGTCATGGTCGGGGTCACCCATTAACATCCGGGTTTCAGCAACCAATGCTTGTAATAGAAGGCGTCATACAGTTTCAGGCTCCTTGGCTGATGCATGTAATCATATCCGAGTTCCGGTGATCCGGACTCGAATATTTACAGCTGATTTGAAGCTAGACTGTTGCCGAGTGGTGTAATTCAATAACAAGGTAATTGAATGAAGAACACATAAAATGACTGTCTTTGTTATCCTGGTCACGGGAATGAAACAAGAAAATAAACTCAACGTCTGTTATCTGTTTACCTGGATATCAAAGTAAATAAGTCTAATGACTGAGAGCCACACACCGATCCATTTACTGGATCCTCGCTGGTTCGTGCTCCCCGTCGTGTTCACAATTCACAATGAGGTCAGAACGCCAGTCACTGTGACTATGATTAATATTTTCACTCAATCCTGTAGCAAAAGTAGGCTGCACATAATTCAGAAATCGTCTCCATGGTGTAAAACCTGTCGAGCAGGATGTGAGACTGCAGGACAAGCAGTGTTAATGTGGTATGGAGATGTGAAATAACCAACACAGTATAAATCGCATTAAATGTAACAGTTTAAAGTTATATTATGCAATGCAAAAACCGGGACATTAGGTTTATAGATATTTAGCATAATACAGACGATGTTGCCGTAATTTCTCATGTTATTTTAAACCACCAAGAACGATCATTTCGATCCCAGTGAGATCCTGAACCTTCCGCAAAGCTATCAGAAACACATGGACCTATGAAGTGGTTATGTTGAAAAATCAGCAAAATCAGTCAATATTACATAGAATTCTTTTCAATCACCCTTCAAAATGCGTATTAACTCAACATTATCTCCTACTATACAGGGACGGTGGGGTAGCCTAATGGTTAAAGCGTTGGCTCGTCACGCCGAAGGCCGGGTTCGAATCACCCATGGGTACAATGTGTGAAGCCCATTTCTGTTGTCCCCGCCGTGATGTTGCTGGAATATTGCTATATCCCTGGCATCGGTTCCCCGTACATCAATGCTCATGCCGATGTCGATTATTTGATCACTGGATTGTCTGGTCAACAGACTCGATTATTTACTGACCGCCGCCATATATAGCTGGAATATTGCTGAGCGGGCCGTAAAACTAAACGAGGTGGTCGGAAGCTCACTCACTCACTGATGATCCTTGTCTGGTCAGACTCGAACACTCCATACAAATCTGACCCAGATTTACACATTTCATAGACGGAATAATTTCTTTCAAAGCGTATTGAGGCTCCTGTACGCCCCGTTGAGCTATGGTCCTCTGTGAATGAATACATCTCCAGTCGTAACACTGAGGTGTTTTTGTCTGCTTTAAAACATTTTGTTAGTTTTAGCTCTAAACATGTGGTTTGTTATGCAGACAATTAAACATGACATTTTATATGCGTGTATCTTGAAGAATGTGACCTATTGATAAATTTAACGAAAGCGATTCGGTCGGATGCATATTCATATTTACTGTTGTCAAGAGTGAGTGAGTTTAGTTTAGTCTCAATTATTTACCGCCCGCCGCCATATAGCTGGAATCTTGCTGAGTGCGGCATTAAACAACAAAGCCACCAACCAACCAACCAAGCAACCAACCAACCAACCTGTTTTCTCTTGCTGTCCTGAACCGCCTCCGTGGTGTAGTGGTTAGAGCGTCCGCCTGGAGAGCGGAAGGTCGCGGGTTCGATCCCCGACCGCGTCATACCAAAAGACGTTAAAATATGGTTACTTGTTGGTCCCTACCTGGCGCTCGGCATTAATGGGTACAACAAGGACTGGTCGGCTCGAAGTCAGTATAATGTGTCTGAGTGGGGTATTCATGCTTCACTGCTGCGGCATGGTATCTCAGTGGGCTAGCACTATACAACCAGCTTAAGTCTGGGCTAGTACAAGCAGCCGCACATACACACGCATGCACGTCGTCATATGAGCGAAATATTCTCAAGCACGACGTAAAACCCAATTTCACCTCATCTCACCCACCTTACTGTCCTGTTTTGTAACTTCGGATGAGGTTCATTTCTCAACGACAATCTTTCCAGTTTGACAGACGTTCATAGATGTTCAGTGACGTCGGTATGCTGCCTGTTGCTTTTCTATGACTTGGGCAATCAGTTGTCGCATGATGGCTGGTTTCTCATGATAAAATAAATAAAACGTACTGTCAATTTTCTGTCACATTTCATGCAAATATTTCGAAAAATTGAATTTGGTTAGGGGTTAATGGCACAGTAACAGGAGGCTACAAAGTGACTACCAAACCCACATTAGAAAATCTGCCTCAGAATCATTCAATTCAATTCTTTATTACAGAATTGTAGGCCATCGGCCCATAACTACATAGGTTACATTTACATGGCAAAACATTGTATGTACAGTATAGATTGATTCTTTTAACATCTTAGATACATTGCATGATAGATAAAGCTAGCTAAATTATTTATAAGTTTACAATCTGATGATGACATGAGGAGTTTGAATTTGGCTTTACTCGGATACAATAGGTTTTAGGTAAATGGTTCAAGAGGAGCTGTTGGAATTTGGAACACACGAGGAGAAGATGGTATTTATCCTCAATATAACCTTCATCGCACTGTAAACATAATCTATCATTTTTATCTATATTATAATACCTTCCAGTTTCTATACGTAACTGATGTGAAACATCTAAACTGAGCGAGTGCTGCTCTAAACTTTTAATGTTAATCACATTTAAATACAATTCCCTGGACAATGAAATTTTAAAGTAAGAAGAAAACATAAATTTGTTGCCATTTTGAAGTGAACTATACCAATTCTGTTCATGAATACATTTAAGTCGACTCACAAATTCAGATAAAAACGAGGTAGGAGAAATAACAGATTGCTGTTCCCAAACAAAACCCAAACCCAAACTGTACAGCAGATATCGACACTTCGACGCCCAATTAACTTTATTATGATCTAAAGCCATTAACATCATGTGATAACATTTTTGGGATGACGAGAATCATTCTCAATAACTTTATTACCCTTTTATATGCTAGGATATATAGGGATACCGCCCACATTCACCACGACCTATATTACTAGTTGTAGAGATCTTAACGCCTAAAACCGTTTGCAAGCCAATGTGTGCACAGATTCAACATAATCATTCTGACAGAATCCCCATTAGAACAATGACTAGACCAAGACAAGCCCCTTGTGAATGTTATGCCTAGAGACTTATATGAAGTTACCGCTTCCAACTTCCTTCCATTATAAAACCAGCTTTCTCGTTTTGATAAAATACCACCTTTCTGAAAAACGACAACTTTTGTCTTATCCAAATTGACCTCAAGACCGTATTCTATACAAAACTTTTCTAAAACATCGATGCGTTTCTGTAGCCCTCCAATAGTATCAGATATAAGCGCGATGTCATCCGCAAAAGAAGAATAAATATTTGAATAACATCAGGATGTAATTGAATACCTGGACCTGAACTACGTTCTACCTAACAGCCAACTCGATGATAAAATCGAAAACAACAGAGGGCTAAGGACACAGCCCTGACGAACACCACGTGAACAAGGGAAAAATCCTGACAACACATTATTAAATTTTACGCTAGCCTTAACGGATGAATAGATGGACTGTATAGAGTTAACCATTTTGGGGGAAACACCTCTAGATTTCAAAACTGACCATAATTTCAAACGACTTACACTGTCGAACACACAATAAAGTTTAACCTTTTGCCTACTAAGGTACCTCTGGATAATAGACTGGAGGGTAAAGATATTATCAATGGTGGAGTAATCTTGACGGAAACCAGCCTGTGCAATTTTACCAAATGATTCACACCAATACGTTAACCTCCTGTTTAGTATAGACACATAAAGCTTGCTAAATACACTAAGAAGAGAAATACCTCTATAGTTAGATGGAGAGTGTATATCACCTTTCTTATATAAAGGAACAATGACAGCCTCCGACCATGATTCTGGAAAGTAAGCATGTTCAAACATGACATTGAAAAGCACTGTAAGATATGGTACCAGAATGTCTGTTGTATATTGAAAAAGTCAGGAATTAATAAATCAGCACCTGAGGATTTGCCACACTTCAGTCCTTCAATGGCGGTTAAAATTTCCTCTTGTGTTATAGGAGAGTCAAAAATGGAGCGTGTCATATCATCACAATTTTCAGAGTCAGTTTCATCGTTAATATTGACGCCTTCAGCAGTGACATCCTCTGATATAAACAGGTTTTGGGAACGATCAGCCCAGTCAACAATGGTTGTATTAGGAACACGAGTATAAGCAGTATGGGACAGACCTTTTAATCTGGACCAAAAGATTTACTGTCATGGAGACATGTTGAAATTTTATTGCTCACAAGTTCATAATATGTTTTCTTTTTATTTCTAAGTAGAGATGGGTAGGCATTCCGGACTTAAATATAATTATTTAGATGAACATCATTTTTGTGACGACGAAATACTTTAAGAAGTCGTTCCCTTTCTGATCTATGGAATCTACATTCCTCATCAAACCATGGTTCGGAGTGTATGAGTCTAATCTTGTTATGGCGCTTCATACTACCGGCTGCTTCACATACCGCTTCTGTAAACTGAGTGACAACCCCATCAATGTCTTCAACGAGTAGAGTACATTTCTCAAATATGTCAACAACAGCAGGTAACAACAAGTTCTCCCTGAACTGTTGGAGATACTCTATGTCCCATACATAGCGGTCCGTTACACGTATTGCACGTGCTCCTCAGAATCACAAAACGTGTGATTTGAAATGAGACGATATGAAATTTCTTGTTAGTGTGGTTACATTGTTATTTCACTGTGGTCCACACATCCTGGTTCAATATGAACTCAATGTATGAAACGACCTTATTTATCAGTGTATTGTGTTTTAATATGTTCTAGTTTATGAGACATCAGCAGGTGGGAGTGAACGTGTGCTACGCATGAATCAGAGGAATACCTTCCTGGTTCTTCATTCACACGTTCCCGTTGACCGTCTACTGACATCCGGGAACACAAGTGTCGTTGTGAATACATATACACGGTCTTTGTGTGCTCGGGTGTAATGATCCAAGCAAACTAGGTGAAGCGAGTTACCGAATATTCTGGGCATATTGATTGAACTCACAAAAGAGATTAGTTTTGTATTGCGGAAACTATTCAGTTCTTGTCGAAACCGGTTCAATGACAAGCTTGATGCATCTCATTTCGCGGATTCAACTGGTTTGGAGTGTCGGGGGTATATATGATGGTTGATTCTTGGTGGACGTGTATTCTGAGTCTACTGGCAACTGTCAGTCCGGTGGCCCTGCAAAGTAAGTGACACTTGTAAACAGTATTTTTGTGTCTAATCTATTCTTGTTATACCGCCAACATTTGTACAGAAAAGCGATTCTGCTCGTTCACAACCAACGCGTACATGAATACATATACATTCAATAGAACTATGTACAGTGTAGAGAGATACATGTGGAATAGAAAAGAATATACCCTTCATAATATTGATACACTGAATCGGAATAGCAATATATGTTAATACAGATATAATTTGTACAATAATCTTTTAATACTCCAATGACTTTATGTCAGAAACAATAATGTGAAACAAAGTAAAACAGTGTACAGCGGCGCCATGTCTGGTTCCCTCTCTCCGAAGCTCAGAACTTTGTGAATGGCTGTTCTTGGCTCGGATTAACACTGACAGAATCGTACTAAATTGTTAGTTAAAAACGAAAAGCTTGATATATGGAACATAGTTTTCACGCGTAAGTCAAATATACCGCAGTGTGTGTTTCATTGCTAGGATATAGATGTCGACATACTCACTCAATACACTGTCCTATATGTCCGCCATGTTGTGTTTTCGTAGACGAAAGGTTCAACAGAAACTATTGAGCTACTGCTTATTCGCCTTATGAATTTGCTTCCAGACTACAACACAAAACAGGCATTTCATCATTTGGAAACCCTTTCACATATCGTGTTTCCCTTTTTCACGTCTTATCACATTGCAAGAGGTTATACATTCAAAAGGAATCCTGAATATCGTTGATGAGGTCACTATGCTGCATAAGTATTTGAACACATAAAATATCCACCACACTGTGATTCAGCAGCCTTTTACCCCAAACCTTCAGCGAACAATGATGAACTGTTATGCTTTCTATGTTTATTTCTATGCTATGTAGTGTAAACAAGCCTGTATATGTCGACTGAAGCAAATGTGGCGAGCAATGTATCAACGTTGATGTGATGAAGCTGTAAGACGTTGTGGGGTTATTGAATATTCAGGTGTAAGGAAACATGAATAACCGTGTGATCGTGGTCTTAGACACAGGGGACATTTGCCCAGTGCTTATATTATTGAGAAATCTCTGTCTACTAGACTGTTCCACAAGAATAGACACACATCTTGCTAGAGAACTTGTAGCCTCAAATGTGATAAAATACTATATGCACTATTCTTGAACATATCACAATACTTCCTGAAATAAACATGACGCGTGGCATTAACAGCCATTTCTTATTGATGTTTTTTAAACCGATATTGTGGAAGTGGTATTTCACTTTGTGAAAATATATGTATTAGTGAGTTGGTTCACACACAAAACGGCTTTAAAATAATATCAGAATTGCGTTAGAAAGTGAATCACAGCTGTGACTATGTTTTCTCCCTCTCCAGCTGATGGGGGCTTTTCCCAGTGGTCGACGTGGACTCTTCCGTCATGCGCAGTAACGTGCGGCGCATCAGCCACGGCCAAGGTGCAGAGAACTCGTGCCTGCAACAACCCTCCTCCCAGCAATGGCGGATCACCCTGCACAGGAAGTACTGCTGACACATCAGTTGTAAATTGCAACCTTTTAGACTGTCCAGGTGAGACGAAAATTTGTATTGAATAAATAGTTCTGTCAAAGTAATAAAACGATAATCACGTGACTGGCAGTACGTATTATTGTGTAATTTCTTTTTTGTTCCTATTCATGTGTTCACCCATCCTCCACGCGTAATATGATCAGTTGTTTGTATCAGGTTTGATATAGGTCGCCGTGGTAAGACAGGAGTATTTGTGACAGAAAAATACAATATATTATTGTTGACGTGTACATTGTGTGAATGGCAAATACTACTGAAATATCAGAGCATGAGCATAGTTCTCAGGAACACCAGGTTTTCATTCATTCATATTAATTCCATCACTACATGGCTTTCACTCTAAATGGAATCTGGATAAAAATACAATCTATCGTTTACGGTAACAATTTCTGCCTTAGTTTGCGTTCCTGTCAACGGAGGCTTCTCCCAGTGGACACGTTGGACCAATCCGTCATGTCCAGTAACTTGTGGGTCATCAGCCACGAGGAGAGTACAGAAAACCAGACGATGTGACAGCCCGCTTCCCAACAAATGTGGACTTTATTGCATTGGGGTTGCATATAGATATGAGGACAGAAATTGTCAGCTTCCAGATTGTCAAGGTAATTATATACTCATGCCAATAATGGTTGTCACCCCCTACATTTTTTTTTAATAATTGGAGGGGAGGGTGTGTGTGTGAGGTGTGTGGGGGTTGGGGTGGGGAGAGGGGTGACAACCATTATTGGCATGAGTATATATATATGCATGTATATGTTGTATGGATATGCGTGTGTGTGTGAGAGAGAATGAAATAAAAGACTAAGTCTTAGATAATCATAAAATATACCTTCTGAAAGCAGAAACCACACAAACTACAAAGCTAACTACAAAAACATCACAAAAGGGGGTAAGTAATGATAACATTTACAGATGACGTTGGGTTCAATGAGTGGGGAGAATGGACCAGTCCAACCTGTGACGTCACATGTGGAGCATCGGCCACCAAGTCCATCATCAGAGAAAGGACTTGCATGTATCCCAGTCCACAGAACGACAGTGGAAACTGCACTGGGCCGTTTGAACAGACTGCAACTGTGAACTGCAACTTAATTGACTGTCCAGGTAGGTTGGGGCGTTGGGGAGTCATCACAAATACCAACTTGTTAAACAATCAAGCATGTATTCTTTGACAAACCAGATGCACACAAATGTTGTAGATATTAATCATCAAGGTTGCATAAAATTTCGATTAATGTATGGTCGGACAGGGGTTCTAGGTGAACACACACATTAAGGCAGAAATACATGCTCCATATCCCTTCTGTAAAAGAACAATCGTAGCTATACACAAACACATGTGAAACATTAACAACACGTGTTCTCGAAAACCAGTTCATATCCTTCACAGAGACTCGGTATAACACTTCATGTTATCTCTTCATGCAGAGCGCCAGGTTAACGACTAGTACCATCTTTTATTGCCCTATTGGTATATCGCCGCCGGAATCGAACCTCTACAGGCAGTCCAGAATAACAAAATGGACACTTGAAAGTCTATTGAAAGTTTAATATCTGTTCCGTTCTGTTAATATTATTTGTGCAAACTCATGTTTCTATGTCAGTGTGCGTGCGCGCGCGAGTGTGTGTGTACATATGATACATACACCACGTGTCTCCTTCTACCAGTGAACGGCGGTATATCAAAATGGGGGCAAAGGTTGTTGTCCAGGTGAGACTGAAGAGAAAGACTGTTGCCAAGGTGAAGACTGAAACAAAAGATTGTTGTCTCGGTCAGAATGAAACAAAAGCTTGTTGTCCATGTGAGACTGAACAAAAGATTGTTGTCCAGGTGAGACTGAACAAAAGATTGTTGTCCAGGTGAGACTGAAACAAAAGATTGCTGTCCAGGTGAGACTGAAGCGATAACTTGTTGTCCAGGTGAGACTGAAACAAAAGATTGTTGTCAAGGTGAGACTGAAGCGATAGCTTGTTGTCCAGGTGAGACTGAAACAAAAGATTGTTGTCCAGGTGAGACTGAAGCGATAGCTTGTTGTCCAGGTGAGACTGAAACAAAAGATTGTTGTCCAGGTGTGAGACTAAAGCGATAGCTTGTTGTCCAGGTGAGACTGAAACAAAAGACTGTTGTCCAGGTGAGACTGAAACAAAAGATTGTTGTCCAGGTGAGACTGAAACAAAAGATTGCTGTCCATGTGAGACTGAAGCGATAGCTTGTTGTCCAGGTGAGACTGAAACAAAAGATTGTTGTCCAGGTGAGACTGAAGCGATAGCTTGTTGTCCAGGTGAGACACAGGTTGTTTTCTAGGTCAGACTGTAACAAAGGTTTGTTGTCCAGGTGAGACTGAAGCAAAAGACTGTTGTCTAGTGTACATGTAGCCACTTACTTCAGGCAACTGTTCTAAACTTTGTTTTTGCAAAATATTCCATACTGTTTAAAGGTGCTGTTTATACATGAACTGATGTACTGTAAAACAAATTCATAACGTTGAAAAGGTTATTGTCATGCGTTCAATAAATGATGAAACTCGGATAAAAATGGAGAATTCTAATAACTCTTTACACCAGAACGCAGCTGTTCACATGCACGATATTTGCATATATTTTTTAGCAGTTTGATGCATGATCCTCGTGCAATTAACCTGCATAAAGGTTTGCAGATGTTTCCCCAAGTTAGTGGAAAAATTCATCTTCGTTGTAATCATATATACATACACAGCATATAGTGAATGTATTAAGTGAGTCTAAACTTTTGATGGGTAGGATAGTACTGGAGAAGTAAATGTGAGACAGGCACAAAATCTAACACAGCAGAGTGCTCCCCAAAGTAGGTCTGACATAATGGAGTGTTGACAAGGAACGTCCGAGATGGGAAAATACGGATTGTCCCGGGTTCTGACAGACGCTGATTTCATTTTAATGACATACCAGTTGCTTGTATTCCACAGACATAGGAAACATTTGTGAATGCACATTGGAATTTTAAATATAGATGTTCACGTCTCAGAGAAACAGCACTTTCACACATATCACCAGTTATAATAAGAAATAGTGGTCATAAAAGAGATTGGATACTAAAGCCGGTCAGCTATGCTTTGATGCATGAAGACTACTGAGTTTCAAATCACAATAGTGTAGACTGACTCTTACAGGTGAATTTCAATTTCTGTTGAATGATTACACTTCAGTAAAATACAATATTCAGTATTAAAATATGTTCAAACTTAATTGTTCAGCAATGGCTTAACTTCATGACACTATATCTGATGTTGGGACAGATTCATCGTCGTCCACGTGGAAGCTGGTTGTAGGTATTTCTGTCGGAATAGCTGCTCTCCTGGGTCTTATAGTCATCGTGGTATGTGTCGGCAGGCGACGAAACTGGCCACAGAAGGTACAAAAGGTGGGTTGAAGAATCGCTATATGATTGAAAACTGGGTAATTGTGTTTGGGGTATGACCTACACACATCGTCCAAAACTATTTTCGCAGGGTTTGGTTGATTTAATCATACATTTATGTGTCAATTTACAGGGTGTATATTCTTTCAAGAAAAAGCCTTTCGTCCCTGACAGACTCGAGTTGATTGCTTTACTTGGCGAGGGGAAGTTTGGTGAGGTGTGGAAGGCTCGAGCTCTCAATGTCCTCTCAAGTGGACAGTGGGACTTCGTGGCTGTGAAGAAGTGCAAAGGTATGGCCGCTCTCAAATGGTAGATACATGGCATGATATAGTGTGAGTGTTTGTGTTGTGATCGGTTTCTGCTCTTGATGGTTGTGTATAGGGTACTTCTTTTGGAGGGAATGGAACTGTGCATATTCTGTCATTTGCGACATGAAATCACTCTATGACAACCTCACAATAGAACAAGAGTTTAACAAGGAAGCAATTGCTTTGTTCTTTTGGGAATGGTTATACATGGAAGTATTATAACGGTTTTAGTTAATTTGTGAAGCCGTCAAGACACTCAGACAGGTTAGAGGTTTAGGGTAACTGACGGGATCGGGTGGTCGATGACTTGGTTGATCTGCCCAGATTGATGCTCACGATAGGGGGTGTGGGTGGTGTTAAAGAACAACAAAAAACAAAAATATTATGTGTGTATTCAAACCTCCGAAGACGTTCCGTTTTGTAAGAGTATTCAACACGGGGGTTGGCTGTTGTCCCAGGCGATGCTACCCAGTTCATATAGTTGAGATACACACCGTTTTGATCCTGATGATATGTGAAATGTATGGTTGTCTGTTAAATTTGCTCAGCGCAAAGTTCGTCTTAAATTATCTGTGTTCGGAAATAGAAAGGACAAAATCCCTTCCACATCTGGTGTTTTGATGTTTGGTTTCCATTGGTTACAGGCAATGCCACAGAGGCAGTACGACAAGACTTCAAACATGAAATTGAACTCATGAAGTCGTTACCGAAGCATCCACATGTTGTGAACTATCTCAGTTCTTCTACCAAAGCAGGTTCGAAACTTTACGTAACGCCATATCTGACATTTACAAAACAACTACATGTATAATGGAAAAAGATTTTCTAAAAATTCATAATGTCTAAATTTGTTCACTGCGGCAAACTTTGATGTCAAAATGTTTATAATTTGTCTTTAACATATTGTGAAATAAGGTTCTAACTGGGCGTTTTTCGACAAAGGATATATGTCCTGAAAATCAGCTTGATCATTCACTTAACGTGTTTCACAGGTTCTGATATGCTGTTACTGGAGCTTGCTCCACTGGGCAATCTGCTCAACCTTTTACGCTCAAGACGCCCGAAACCGGGTGCTGGAAGTCTGCCAAGGTCACCAAGTCCAAGTGCCGAGACACAGGAACTGACATCTGAACAACTAACAATGTTCGCGCACCAGGTCGCTAGAGGAATGAAACACCTGCAGTATAACAGAGTGAGATCTTATACTTGAAGTAAAAAAAATACATAAATAAATTAATGATCAATATTATGGATCAATGCAATTGATACATCAAAGAAGCTATCGCTGTCGCCATGTCCTTTGTTTGCTTATCGTGACTTCAACATTAGTACAAGATGTGAGAACTGTGATATGTTTGGGTTTTCGAATGTCAATGTATTTTAAACGCGATTTCATTAAAAACTAGTTAGGAAACTGTACAGGAGATGTGCCTTCAATGAGATGGGCGGTTTTAGGTTTCCCGATCTGTGCAGGCTAACAGTTGACCAGGCTTTGCATGTATTTATGACGGCACCTGTGGGGCAGGAAACGCTCACCTTTTCGGCAAAACCTGGTATTGTCACTATTTTGATAGTGATTCATAAACGCATGTTCATGGTAAATTCAAAATCGTACAATCGGCTCTTTAATCAAAGACTTCTTATGGACCAGGTTTGGTTGCGTTTATTTAAGTAAGAAACGTATGCCAAATATGATCAATTATGACTCGAAGATTGGGAAGGGTTGCTCAAGGTAGGAGATTCATGTATGGCATATATCTTACAGATCATTCACCGTGACCTGGCAGCCAGAAACGTGCTTCTTGGTGAGAATTTGGTCTGTAAAGTATCCGACTTGGGCTTGGCCAGACAACTCTCAGACACAAACGAAGATGCATACGAAACAAAATCTGAGGTAAGCAATGTTTCATTGTGTTTTTCACAACAGTCACCGTGGTTGAGATGCTAGTACTCAATAAGTACTTGCCTCATGTAATAGTTGTGTTTTCATTGCTCACTGGTTCGCTGTATCACGTCTTTCAAAGAGGGCTCGAAAGATCTGATATCGCCATTCGTAAATTAATGTTCTTATATTCAGATGATGTGAAACACTTGTTCAAAGACGCCAGGTGCCATCACTGATGATCAAATATTTTTCTTCACTATTTTCGTTTCAACGCCTTATGGAAACTTGGTCATATAATCAAGACTGGTATTAAGGCGTTTCGACTGTGTTCTTAGCAGAGATTTCTTATGGATGTGGAAAGGTTTTTGTCGTTTCTACTGACATTTGGAATTCAATGTAGGTCAATTGTAAGGGGTGAACTGACCAGGGTCAGATGGTCACAGTGGAATCTAATGCCTGCCATGTTCTGTCTTGTACCACAGGGTCCGCTTCCTATCCGGTGGATGGCTCCAGAATCTCTCAAAGACAGATTGTTTTCTACCAAGTCTGATGTGTGGTCCTTTGGCATCTTACTATGGGAGATCGTTACGCTAGGTAGGGTGAGAATTACACTTATCAGTGAAGAAGAGCAATGGTAACACAGATTGTTGCTTCGCTGTCATGCATAACACATTTCATAATGTGGTCCATTATCGCTGTATATGTATCATTTTCTATCGTCATACTACCACTGTGCCATTTGTGAAGACTTGGCATCATTAGTGTTCGATGGTGTTTTATAAATGCATGGCGAATTATGGTTGGAATTGTACAATACAAGCATATCATAGATTCCATGCCTCAAGAACATTATCAAATCATGTGTGCTTTTCGGTTTCAGAATTCTGATATCTTTGTCTAATCCTATACTTCTACAACTAAATGTATGTGTTAATTTGATGTTAAAAAAATTAAGGGATGGTGTGGATGCTAGTTTTAAACTCACATTCATCAAAGAAGTAATATGTAAGCTTCAACTGGACTATGTCATCTTTCAGGAGCAAGTCCCTACCCGGGGCAGTCTGCCAGGGACGTCATGAATTTCGTGACGACAGGAGGAAGGATGCCCAGGCCAGACCACTGTGCTCCGGAGTTGTAAGTAAATCCTATCTATAAACAGGCACTAGAGGTAATACCTTGCAGGTAACACTTGTGATGACACGTGACAATCTGGAGTAGAAGTGGTCTTAAGCAACCTTTGTTTGTCGTAAAAGGCGACTAACTGGATTGATGGGAGGGTTGTGTGTGTCAGGATCACTGACTTGGCTGATGCATCTCATTGTATCCTTATGTTCATGATGTCAATAACTGGATTGAGGGGAGGGGGGGGGTTGTCAGGATCACTGACTTGGTTGATGCATCTCAGTGTATCTTTATGTTCATGCTGTCAATAACTGGATTGAGGGGAGGGGGGGTTGTCAGGATCACTGACTTGGTTGATGCATCTCATTGTATCCTTATGTTCATGATGTCAATAACTGGATTGAGGGAGGGGTGTGTGTGTCAGGATCACTGACTTGGTTGATGCATCTCATTGTATCCTTATGTTCATGATGTCAATAACTGGATTGAGGGAAGGGGGTTTGGGGGTGTCATTATCACTGACTTGGCTGATGCATCTCATTGTATCCTTATGTTCATGATGTCAATAACTGGATTGAGGGGAGGGGTGTGTGTGTCAGGATCACTGACTTGGTTGATGCATCTCATTGTATCCTTATGTTCATGCTGTCAATAACTGGATTGAGGGGAGGGGGGTGTGTCAGGATCACTGACTTGGTTGATGCATCTCATTGTATCCTTATGTTCATGATGTCAATAACTGGATTGAGGGAGGGGTGTGTGTCAGGATCACTGACTTGGTTGATGCATCTCATTGTATCCTTATGTTCATGATGTCAATAACTGGATTGAGGGGAGGGGTGTGTGTGTCAGGATCACTGACTTGGTTGATGCATCTCATTGTATCCTTATGTTCATGCTGTCAATAACTGGATTGAGGGGAGGGGGTTGTCAGGATCACTGACTTGGTTGATGCATCTCATTGTATCCTTATGTTCATGATGTCAATAACTGGATTGAGGGAGGGGTGTGTGTGTCAGGATCACTGACTTGGTTGATGCATCTCATTGTATCCTTATGTTCATGATGTCAATAACAGGATTGAGGGACGGGGGGAGGGGGGGTTGTCATTATCACTGACTTGGTTGATGCATCTCATTGTATCCTTATGTTCATGATGTCAATAACTGGATTGTCTTGTCCAGGCTCAATATTCAACAAACCGTCGCCATGTACCTGCTGAGTGTGGCCGTAAAAACACACAAACAGACGGGCAACATGTTCTTACTAATCATAATTATAGTCAACAAATTGTCAACTCAGGTGGGATGCGAGTTTGTTCTTTACCCGTATCCAGCGATATTTAGCCTGTTTGACTATAATCTCAAAAAATAATGATGTTATGGTCAGTGCGTCCCATGCCTGACTACCTGATCCGTCCAGTAGCCTGCTTCTAACCCGGAGTCTATTCTCTATGCCTACCCAATACAAGTGTGACGTTCTAGTACACAATGTAATACAGATCATGACACAGGAGATGTCGAGCGATACGACGCCTCCACCCTTCTTAGAACTATATAGTAATACAATTGAAGTCAAATCTTAAACGTGAACGGATTTGAAAACCCCTTTAGATTCAACTCTCTACACAAATTCGATTCAATGTAGGATATGAGGTTGTTCTTGTTTTCGTTCTGCAGGTTCTCTCTGATGCCGAAGTGTTGGTGCCAGGATCCGGAGTCTAGACCGGACTTTGAGGTTCTGAGCAGTGAGCTGGACACCCTGTTGGAGGAGTCTGGCGACTACATCCAGCTGTCGGACTACCATAACCTGTATTTGATCTTACAGGGACAGTCTGGTAACCTAGAGGAGAAGGTCTGAGAATCAGCTGAGAACAATCTGGACGCTACTGTCAGACCTCTGGGGAGGAATATCTCGCTCCTGTACAAATAGCTCCTAACGTCTTCTCGCAATACATTATTCTCATGTTATTGTTTTGCTGGAATATCTAACACCCGTGATGTTGTTTGTTTGTTTTATTCATGAAAGTATCACAGCGTGTCATTTTTATAAACAGTCTGCAGTCTTCATTCCAGTACAATCTCAATATGTAGACTTGGTGGAGTGGGGTGAAAGTTAATTTTACCTTGAAAAAACTATATTTGGACTTGTCATTTGGTTACACCCCATGCAGAACGTCTTTGAAACACTTCGCTTGTTCCCATACTGACAATACCTAAGGAGAACATGTGTAACACCCCAGGGGATGGACTTGACACAACACAAGGCGCAACATCAAAGGATGTTAGCTTTATTTCTTGAGTATACTTGTGAGATAGGGCGAATACTTAGTACACAAGTTGCAGAGTCCGGCAGAGGCTACCAGGGAAGGCGACGAGGTGAAGTTGACACTACGGCAGCAGATGGCTGGATTGGCTGGTCAGTTCGTCCCTTCAAGTGCCTGGTTTGCCTCTTCTGCTGGTCTCTCCACGCCCTTTCCGCTGCCTGCCGTCTCTGCTTTACTTGCCTATCCCAATATCAAAATATTTACCATCTGTATATTGTCAAAAACCTGATTATCATGAGTTGAAATTCCCATTATATACTAATAACGAAACACTTCTGAGCAAATTAGGTACATGTTTATACCATCCATACAAACTTAGACAATCAAAAGACTTGCCATTTCATTAGGATATATATCTTTGTACATATTCACCACGTACTATCCAGCGTATCTATTTATTGTTAACTCAAACTTTGTGATTGTATACATGTGTGAAATGTAAAATTTGTATATATGTTGTGAACGGGCCTGTGGCCTATAGACATTAAAAGACTTGACTTGGCCAATTACTCTTGAAAGTCTGCTCAGAAATTACACCCATGAACAGACCAAAATGTGGTACCATTTGAGATGTTTCTACTTCATCTCTAGGAATCACAATTAAGTCATTCGACTGTCATCTTCGAGAACAATTATGGTTCTTTTTCAGACAAAGTAAGCTGTTTCTTATAGTATTATATTTGCAAGTGGATATCTCAACAATGCACTTGCATTATAATGTTTAGCGGATCATTTTGAAGTCTTCTGGCGTCAAAACCAGATGGCATCACTAGTCGCTCTGCCTCTGAAGTCGATGAGCTGTACTGTGTGCACAAAGGACACTGGTTACAGTGTTTACAAACTTGAAAGCTTGAATCTCACTCACATGTTTTTTTTCAACATCAGTCGATACAAATTTAAATTCCTCTCGAGTGTCGAGTTTGTTTCATTGGATATCAAAGAAAACTCAAAAGCTTTCCCTTACTTGGAAGGTAATAGGAAGTTTGATCTTTGTTCAGATGGGTAATTCCGCTAGACTAGGTTATGTTCATCCGACTGATCCAGAATGCTACCCAGTTTTTTCTATCCCCAGAAACAAATTCCTTTTTTGTGTGTAAAGTGATAGCTGTTAGAATTACATGAATGGATCACTGTAAATCAGAGATGACACCAGGTGTTCGCGAAGTGGATAAACATGCTTGACACCATCAATGATAGCATGGTGTGAGTGACGCCGCTTTTATCATTATTCCAGCAATAAGGCGGGGGACACCAGAAATGGGCTTCACACATTGTACCTAAGTGGGGAATCGAACCCGGGTCTTCGGAGTCACGAGCGAATGCTTTACCCACACCACCCATCACGATATGAAACATCAACATCAATAATATCACGATATGAAACAATACCACCAATGATATCACGGTATGAAACAATACCATCAATGATGTCAAGGTATGAAACAGTACCATCAATGGTGTTAAGGTATAAGACAATACCATCAATGATATCACGGTATGAAACATCAACATCAACAAAATCACGATATGACACAATACCACCAATGATATCACGGTATGAAACAATACCACCAATGATATCAAGGTATTAAACAATACAATCAATGATATAACGGTATGAAACAATACAAGCAATGATATCACCTTATGAAACAATACCATCATTAAAATCACGATATGAAACAGTACCATTAGTGATATCACGATATGAAACAATACCATCAATGATATCAAGGTATGAAACAATACCATCAATGATATCAAGGTATGAAACAATACAAGCAATGATATCACCTTATGAAACAATACCATCATTAAAATCACGATATGAAACAGTACCATTAGTGATATCACGATATGAAACAGTACCATTAATGATATCACGATATGAAACAGTACCATCAATGACATTACGGTACAAAACAATCCAAGGGAAGGATGTCGGCAGGGCAAGGCATGTCACCACACACACACACACACGCTGTGAAAGAAGAATTCAAAAGGTGTCCCTTGAAGGATAACACTCAGCATGGGTGTAATTCATCTGGGCCTTTGTACAGCCACATATACTGTTTGATAGCAATGAACAGCCAGCCCAGTTGTACTACTGTACAGAAGTTTTACCTCCGCGTCCATTACCCGCTCAGAATACAACAACGTTCGGTTGCGAGCCAGTGAGCTGTCCCTGCCGCCCTCTGTCAGACATGGTGGATCTCTTCATACATCTGTATAGGTAAATATATTATGCGTTTGAAGTCACATTTGCTACGTTGGGCTCCATACATCAAGACGTTATTCTATTATCTATACTGTGTGTAAGACATAGTGTTTCATGGGGCTATATGCTGCCGCGTAAAGGACATTACGTGGGTGTATTCAAAATGTCACGTTGACATTGTATGTATATTTGTCAACATGACATTAGGCTATGATACTCCTCTGATACAATGCATGTCTAAAGTGTGGTTGCACATCCTGTTTGGTTTCCGTGGATTTTGAATGCATATCTGCAACATACATACAGATTCAGTGATATCACGTTAACAAAATGTGAGAATGAGAGTTTTCATGCCATTAACTCTATATCTGGTAGATATAGATAAAAGGAGTACATAAACCGAGGCAAATGTAAGTTCAAGAAGCAGATACCACGATGATTTGTGCACAAAATGACCACATCATGTTGCAGTCCGTATCTTCTTACACGGAAGTTCTGCAGTTATTTCTTGCTGGTACGCCTTCAAGAATGACACAGGACCAGGTGAATCAGTCCTATATTTATTAAAATATCACACACGTTTTTCCTTTGAATCCCCACCCTAGCTACCCAATAGAGATCATTGAGAGCAACACTTGGTCAGGTATACAAGGAGATCAATGGTTAGTGTTCAGGCGAAGGAGATTCTTGTGTCTGTAAAGTGTGTCAGTCCGCGTCTGGCGGTGCATGTTTACTCTGTACAACCTTCGGAGAACAATATATGTGTATTGGGAGCATGATTTAACAACGTTATACGTAAGTGGATGTTTCATCCCCTGATACCCTGAAACCAATACAATACTGTCATTGTCTAGAGAGAGAAACATGCTATTCTGTATTCAGATTCACTTGACACAATGACGGTGCTCGTGCTGGTATTTGCTGTGGCGTACTTGTGTTCGGGGGCTACCTCATTGACGACATCACGAACTACAGGTAAGGGAAAAAGGGTATTTATTCTACACACTATATGTAACGGGGATGGCGCTGACTCAACAACACAACTCCGTTGAGGCTCTAGTTCCGGTTTGTTACTGTAGTTTGTATTAATACAAGTCTGAAACAATGTATATGAAGATATAATTCTCCATCAAAATATCTATTCCATCACGTTCATTTCATTGCACATTGTTCAGATAATTAACAATTGCAGTACTACCACTGAACATATAAAAAGAAATCAAAAACAAATTGACATCGCAAAATTAATGGTTCAGTTACATATTGAGATCCTTAGAAGTGCAATTATGGAACACATATGGCATCTTCAAAACTATGAAACATCAACGTTTCTTACCATGTATGGGGCAACTTGTTTCAAACTGGCCACATGTTGTGAGGCACCAACAAAACACCAACCAAGGACCTAAAATATGTATGTCTTAATTAGCGTGGGAATGCTAATTCTCACCAGTAAAGTAAACGTACAATCTGTTTGGACTCAAACATTAATCTGAATCAATTGTAAGTGAAATTATTGACACCAACAACTTCTAACCATAGGTCAAAATATACCTCCACCAAATGCATAAATTCAGCTACAATAAATACTGAATTAACCTTTCAACAATTAAACATATTTTCGTAGTTTATTCCTTTTATATTAAACCAAGTGTAACTAACCTGTAATTCACCAAAGTCACAATCCTCCATCCATGAAGGACAGCAAATGAACAAACTTCACACGTTCCATATGCAACTAAATTCAACATCCAATCAAGATGCTGCACATCTTCAGCCAATGAAAACCAAGGACAAGACAGCAGACCTGACCTCCTTAAGACTTGGCTACTTTGCATAGGAACTACTTTCGACCTATGACTCAGTGGTGACTATGAGTAAATCATGGACTTGTGAAAATGTAAACCTTTTCACTGACAATTGTATTATTGTTTAAGATGTTATGAATTGATTCCAAACAGGAACATAAGACAAGATATGTTAAAATAGATTGCTTTTTCAGAACATTTTACAATTTGTATATTTTGTACTTGATACATATACACTACAGGTGAGGAACTAGGATATTTACTCTACACACTACACACTACACATACTACAGACTACAGACTACACACACTACACACTACATACTACAGTTAAGGCAACAGGTATTGTTTGCTCGGTAGCTATTTGACAGACACCACCGGCTGTCAGGTTTAAGTTTGGCTGTTGTTTAACGCCGCCCTCAGCACTATCCCAGCTTTATAACGGCTGTCTGTAAATTATCGCGTCTGCACCAGACAATCCAGTGAGCAACATCATGAGCATAATTCTACACAACTGGGATATGATGACATGTGTCATCCAAGTGTCATCCTGACCACCCGATACCGTTAGTCGCCTCTTACGACAATCATGGGTTACTGAAGACAGATGTTCACGGGTTACAAAAACATGTAGCTTGTGTAACCTTGCTATATAATTGACAGCATGCCACTCCAGGTATTTGGGAACTACTATTGGCGGTAACAGGATTCGGGATCTTGTTTCCATATGACTCATAGCATCCTCGATATTTAAGCACATAGTTCAACCACCTTATTCACATAAACGTGTACCCAGGGTGTGTTTTATAAGTAGCCCCTGTCAATTTATGTATGCTTGAAATAAGTCCCAATACAAGTAGGTTGATACATCAAATTAAGTACTTTTCCTTTTCGACATCACTAATATGAAGCTTCCTCGTCGTCAAAATTATCATTAATATCTCCGACAAAATTATACTAAATTACACATGTTATGTCCATGGTGTTGTAAATACTGTTGACAATGCGATTCCAGAGATGATTGTTATTATGCTCGGATCTGTACAAAAGACACAATATTAATGATATTTGTAGGAGATATATGTATTTATAGAGTTTCCAGAATATATTCTGACACGTGAGGTCTATATGTGCTAACGTTTCATGTACACAGGCTGTGACCTCTCCTTTATATATAGTTTCATCTTTTCTAAAGTGATCATCTAATGTTGCCATCACAAAAAATCATTATTGGTTGCAATATCTAATTGAGTTCCAGTGAAAATATAACACGGAAGTAGGAGTGAGTGAGTGAGTTTAGTTTAACGCCGCACTCACCAATAGTCCAGCTATATGGCGGCGGTCTGTAAATAATCGAGTCCGGACCAGACAATCCAGTGACCAACAGCATGAACATCGATCTACGCAGTTGGGATACGATGATATGTGTCAACCCAGTCAGCGAGTCTAACCAGCCGATCCCGTTAGTCGCATCTTACGACAAGCGTGGGTTACTGAAGATCAATTCTAACCTGGACATTCACGGGTCACGGAAGTAGAAGCAACACCTACTAACAAAATATAAATGATCACATACACTTGATGTGTTTAGGTGAAATATGGAGACATATTTCCCGTGTTATTCGTTTTCACGTTTTTCGGGTTGAGCACCACGACACAAACAAGCTGCAGACACAACAACTATAGAGTGCGGCGTAAAACAACACCCACACAAACAACAAAACCAGTCAGGCAATTCGAGTGGCAGCAAATGAGTCTGATCAAGCACCAAGAGGAACCCAGTGGGGCAGAAAGTAGTCTTGCTTTATGAGGCCTCTAGCTAACTCTGATCCTGGTCTGGGAAAATCTCTGTAATATACGGTGTACCCGTCTGCAAGCCAGGCAGCCCACCATCCAAATGTCCCCGCAGTCATTATCATGTGGTCACACAAGGTCAAGGTCGCAAAGTCTACAAGGGCATCTGAATTTTCCATGAGTATTATATCCGTGGAAACAACATATTTTCTGCACCAAGTTTTGTCATCAGTAGCTATAAGAAACAGTGGGTTGTGTAACTTTGTCTTCATATGAGCAATAGCCTTTTTAATATACGACAAGGGCGCAGCCAGATAGCCTATCTTACTCCCAGATCTCATGTATTTGCGTCGAACGTGAATCCCGATTTTAGTTCGGTTTTTATGCGTATTTGTGTAATTGTGAAAACACTGCGCACTGAGGTCGATATATTTTTTTCTGAAGACGAACTGTTTTCTTATTGAGGCTCTGATGGAGTTGAAATACTTCCATGATTGAAGAAACCCCCAGACTTTGACATTTCCACCGGGCAGTGTAAGGAGCCTGCGTTCATAAGCGCCATATTGTCTCTCAAAAACCAGAGTCCAAGTCTGATTGCGGATGTCCCCGATGAAAGATATGTTAAAGAGTCTACTGAGTTGGTTTGATTTTGGAATAAGAGGCTGTTTTCCTGTACTGACAGCAATTCCGAGCAATGAGGCATATTCAAACATATTGTTTCCTAGGCGACCACGGAGTGACACTGTTAGAGTGTTGTCATGTGGCGCGGTTGTTCGCCATCTTGAAAACACGTTCCTGGCGACTTCATCAGGAAGCGTCTTATTGTTGCAGCGTGGTCCAGTTGTGTTAAGATATCCAGATGAAACTTTGAGTTTCCGAGTCCAATTATGCATTTCAGAATGATTGAAAATATATTTTTCTGGATTTAGACTACCTTGATGAAGAATTAACACCAAAATCACTGTCAACATAAACATGATTACAAGCATGAAGTAAAGTTTCAGAGCCATTGTGTGACTTTTGTTTTTATATGATTAGAACCCAGACGGCATTAATATAACAATGTAATGTAATGTAGTATGACACCGTCATATATTACAAATGTAATCTTATAATGGTCTGTCATGTAAACAAAATTAAATATCTGTTTTCATTTAGAAATTTCTGTGATTTCTTTCTGGTCAATGTATATGTACGAGATCGGTATGACAGGCCAATCTCCGATGATGGTTAACTGTAGTCCATCGTGTGAATCGTCTTCATTTAGGTGTCATTTGATGATTATACGTCTTCGGCATTGTTGTAGACGGTTTCCTCTAGAAAATAAATGAAAAGGAGTTTATTTTATATGTACGAGGAATATGCAAAATGAATAAGAATAAAAAAAACACTGTCAGTCAATAAATCTGTCTGTCTGCCTCGCTACACACATGCTATAAACGTAGCCAGCTGCCAAGGCCCATAGTTTCTACAATAGAGGTTATACCGCTTAGTTATGTCACAATTTTGAACATTCCTCGAACAAGGCAGTTGTCTGGTACTATTGATATTATGTAAGTTTAGTCGGTTTGTATTTTCATATTTGTATTTTGTTTGTATTCATGCAACAGAATCATTCCACTTTATTCTGTGTGTCGAAGCGAGACAGACAAAATACACTGGGTCGCACTAAGAGAGTGTGTGTATAAAATATGATGCACTTTACCACTAACAGATGAAGTTAATCCACATAATGTTTTGATATGTTATCAAAATAATCAGAATGAAAATACTAATGGGTAAAAAAGACTCACAAAGGCAATTCACACATACCTTTTCAATGACAAGACTCACAAAGGCAATTCACACATACTTTTCAATGACAAGACTCACAAAGGCAATTCACACATACTTTTCAATGACAAGACTCACAAAGGCAATTCACACAAACCTTTCAATGACAAGACTCACAAAGGCAATTCACACAAACCTTTCAATGACAAGACTCACAAAGGGAATTCACACAAACCTTTCAATGACAAGACTCACAAAGGCAATTCACATACCTTTCAATGACAAGACTCACAAGGGAATTCACACAAACCTTTCAATGACAAGACTCACAAAGGCAATTCACACATACCTTTCAATGACAAGACTCTCAAAGGCAATTCACACAAACCTTTCAATGACAAGACTCACAAAGGCAATTCACACATACCTTTCAATGACAAGACTCACAAAGGGAATTCACACAAACCTTTCAATGACAAGACTCACAAAGGCAATTCACACAAACCTTTCAATGACAAGACTCACAAAGGCAATTCACACAAACCTTTCAATGACAAGACTCACAAAGGCAATTCACACATACCTTTCAATGACAAGACTCACAAAGGCAATTCACACATACTTTTCAATGACAAGACACACAAAGGGAATTCACACAAACCTTTCAATGACAAGACTCACAAAGGCAATTCACACATTCCTTTCAATGACAAGACTCACAAAGGCAATTCACACATACCTTTCAATGACAAGACTCACAAAGGCAATTCACACATACCTTTCAATGACAAGACTCACAAAGGCAATTCACACATACCTTTCAATGACAAGACTCACAAAGGGAATTCACACAAACCTTTCAATGACAAGACTCACAAAGGCAATTCACACAAACCTTTCAATGACAAGACTCACAAAGGCAATTCACACAAACCTTTCAATGACAAGACTCACAAAGGCAATTCACACATACCTTTCAATGACAAGACTCACAAAGGCAATTCACACAGACCTTTCAATGACAAGACTCACAAAGGGAATTCACACAAACCTTTCAATGACAAGACTCACAAAGGGAATTCACACATTCCTTTCAATGACAAGACTCACAAAGGCAATTCACACATACCTTTCAATGACAAGACTCACAAAGGCAATTCACACATACCTTTCAATGACAAGACTCACAAAGGGAATTCACACATACCTTTCAATGACAAGACTCACAAAGGGAATTCACACATACCTTTCAATGACAAGACTCACAAAGGGAATTCACACATACCTTTCAATGACAAGACTCACAAAAGTGTGCAAGGTGTTGCACACGTGTCTCGAGCGCGTGACAGTAGTGGCAGTAGTGCACCTGCACGACCAACTAGATCATGTCTCACATCCTGTCGTCACTCAAACACTTCCATGCTCATATTAAGACTTAACTTATCTAGTTAAAGGCTTGACATTGTATTGTGCATACGTGAATGTATTGGTGTGATTTTACTTCCAGCGTCTCCAGTATCTGCCCGAGGATTCACAGTGTATTTTGTCGTGGATGGTTCAGAGAGTATCAGCGACAGCAACTTCCGAAAAATTAAGGACGCCCTTAATCACTTTGTTTTAACCAATCAGTCTATCGGCAGTGCGGTTAGAACAGGTGTTGTGATCTACAGCAATAATGTCTCAACTACAATCCCTGTGTCTTCAAACATCACGGCACTTTCCACGGAAATAAATAAGGTATCACAACCAAGTTCAGGAACTTTCACTCACTTAGGTATTCAGCGAGCTAGCGTGTTCTTGTCCAAGGAGCCTGGTGATACTTCAAGGGTGATGATTGTCATGACAGATGGACTGTCAAACTATCCTATTAATACAGAGGCTGCTGCTGCTGAAGCGAGGAACTCAGGAATTACCATTTTTTCCGTGGGTGTAAATCCGTTACTCAACTTCCCAAGCTCGCCCTATAAAAGACGGTTTGAAACGGAGCTTCGATCTATTGCCTCGTCCAATGAGACTGTGTTTCAAGTTGAAAACTTCTCCACTTTGTCAGACACAATGGACAGGATCCTTGAAATTTTGCCTTCTTCAAAAGGTAAGATCGCTTCCAATCAATCGTAATTATAGGAGTGTAGGGTAAAGGAACTAGGTCCCGATCTACAAAACGCTCGTAGAGCTTCGTAAGCCTATGATAAACCATAGAGTTTCGACAGGTCGTAACTTTACGAACGCTTTGTGGATCGGGACCCTGGGCCAAGATTTTTGAAGCTCTCTTAGAGCTACGATAGTCGTAACTGCCATACATTAACATCAATTTCGGACTATCTTAGCACTGAGACAGCTTCGAAAATCTAGGCATTAGATTAATGTTTTGACAAATGAGAAGAAACTCAGTTGATATATTTGCGAGTGCAAGTTGTTGTTTTTTCGTTCTTGTTGTTGTTTGTTTGCTTGAGCAATAAGATCTTCTTCTGGTCGTGTGTTCTGGATGTATCTACGACTGAACCCTTGACTGTGCACCCTGTTGTTGTAGACGGTGGAATGTCCGAATGGGGGTCATGGAATGTTCCTGCGTGTCCACCACTGACATGTGAGAACCCGACCAGCCTCCGGAATGCGACCAGGACCCGATCCTGCAACAACCCTTCCCCCACCGTTGCCGGTAGACCCTGCAGCGGGGACACGACTGAGGCGGAGAGGAGAGACTGTCGTCTTTTAGACTGTGGTTACGGTAAGATGTCATCCGTTTGCAAAATGTCATTTGCCGCCCAGCAGGGTTCCAGGAACAATGTCGCGCCAGTCAGTGAGTAAAAGAGTGGGCAAACAAACAAAGTGCATGACAATATGATCAAAGTCCTGCTCTATCCACCAAGCTCCAATATCCACCAATCTCCAATATCCACCAATCTCCAATATCCACCAAGCTTCAATACCCACCAACCTGTAACCACCATGCTCTACCACACACCAAGCTCCACCACACACCAAGCTAAAATACCCGCCAAATACAACACACTTGATATGGATGTGCAACCTCTTTATTATTTACACACGACGTTTCTGGGCTAATACTTGCCCCTTCATTCACCTCATGACACTCTTTGGTGTTTCATATTGGAAACAATATTATCTCCGGTTCCACTTAGAAATATTTGGTCAGCATTGACAATGTTTTCACTTAAGATAAATATGTTCACTAGATATAAATAGTTTCTATTTTTACATCGTAGCGATTCAAATGACTTCTGGAAGGAGTATCGATGCTCATGCTGTTTATTACTGGATTGTCTGGCCCAGACTCGATTATTTACAGACTGCCGCCATATAGCTGGAATATTGCTGAGTGCGGCGTAAAACTAAACTCACTCACTCAGTCTGGAAGGAGTACACGATGCATACCACTGAATCTGACAAACTCCCAAATCAGTAGATGTGTAATGAACTAAAAGATTCTGTGGCAGTTCATTGCCCAGGGACCCGTTCCGCTAATATGATCGTAACTCCCATACTTTAACGGAGATTTACGACAGTCGTAGCGCTAATATGATCGTAACTCCCATACTTTAACATAGACTTGCGACACTCGTAGCGCTAAGATGATTGTAACTCCCACACGTTAACATAGACTTGCGACAATCGTAGCGCTAAGATGATTGTAACTCCCACACTTTAACATAGACTTGCGACAGTCGTAGTGCTAGGATGATGGTAACTCACACTTTAACACAGACTTACGACAGTCGTAGCGCTACGGTCGCTTTGAGGAACGGATTTTTGTCATAAAGAGATCACTCGAATATCTCACTTGTAACATGATCAGTATCTTCAATAGCAAAATGTTCTGCACCCACTCAACTGCTACATCGATACTCATGTGACATCAGACAATCTTTTTACTTTTTGCAGGCACAATATCTCCTGTTGTAATTGGTGTTGCTGTAGGGGCTGCTGTTGCTCTTGTGATACTGATTGCAGTCATCGCTGTATGCATCAAGCGGAGACAGAGACAGAAGGTACGTGCATGTATCGACATAAAGTATCTTGCAGTTCACATTGAACACCGTAAGTAAGTACGATTTTGATTTCAGTGTATTTAGTGACAGTAAACGTTTCACGTATATATATGTTCATAATGTCCCCAGCCATTATGTCAGTCACTTGGGAATGTTTCATCACCATCACTTCCACTCTGTTTTACATTCAAGTCCATCTATGTGCGTCTATTGGGACGAGAAAGGGGGCGACTAAATCTTTTATTGTTTTCCTGTGTGATTACTCTTCACCTTTTCTGCTTAAAATATCAGATAAATGTTAACATGGATGCACTAAAGCTAAGATATTTCAATTGTCAATGCAGTAAGTCATTCAATTACTAGAGGAAAAACTATTTAAGCCACATATATCCTTAATTTTATCATAAAAATATATATACATTTGTGCAAATATGTAATATAATGTTACACATTGTGTCATAGCGGAAAAATACCCTCAGCGACCCATGGTTTTTATACTTATTTTTATAGCAAAACATGTTGTCATTTACATATTGAAATTTAGAAAAATGTTTAATACTAGAAATTATGAAAATGAAGGATCATGTAAAAAGTTTGCTCCCATAGACTCCTATGTTAAAAGTCTTGGCTAACCAAGGAATCTTTAAGACTACATATCTCAAGAAAACCCACAGTACCCCCTGCTTTTCTGGGCTGTTTTTGAAAGACAAACGTCATACTTTAAAAATATACCAATTAGAAAAAATGTGCTATTATATTACCAGCTAACATCCTTAAAACTAATAACAAAGCAAACACAACAATGTTGCTCCCCGCGTCAGGAATACAACCGACATTACAACGCTGCACAACCATCAGAGCTCCAGTTAACTCACTACAACCTTGAACTTCTGGCCGTGTTGGGTGAAGGTCACTTCGGGAAGGTCTGGAAGGCCAAGGCCAATGGGATTCTACACACAGGTCAATGTGACATCGTTGCTGTTAAAATATGTAAAGGTGAGAAGACATTCTGATTTTTGGAGTTAGTGAGTTAGTATGGTTTTACATCGGTTATGGAAATATTCCAGCAATATCACGGCGGGGGACACCAGAAATTGGCTCCACACATTGTACCCATGCGGGGAATCGAGCCCGGGCATTCGGCGTGATAAGCCAACGCTTTAAACATTAGGCTACCCCACCGCCCCCTGAGTTTTGGAATATCGAGGACGACCTAACCTGGCCGAAAAATCTAGCCGTAAAAATGACCCCCACGTCCATGTATTTATGTTAAATAGTTGTGGTACAAGCACATATCCACAACATGGAACGCTGTAGACACAGGCTCTTGCATAATGGTGTATCTATAGAAAGTAACACATGTTATATTGGATTCCCCTTTCCTAGTTTAGTAGTTTCCTTTCATGTTGATGTTTAATACAAATTCACGGAGCCTACAGGAATGGTGCCGTGTACTTCGAGGGGACGTAACTTCATGTCTAACTGTTTAAAGAACGTGTTACTCCCTGTGTGTAACAGTATGATGTGTACATACTCTCTTGTATATCGGCCAGAGGCCTTCTGTACAATAAACCTTTTAGACTGACTTTGATTCCACTTTCCCAGTGAAGTAGAGATTCTAGTACTTTTTGTGTTTGCTTGAGTCTCATCCGGGATTCGAACCCGGAGTCTCAGAGTCAGGCAACTTACAGCCAGCTCACTCACATCACTGACTTCTTGTGCTGTCGATTAGATGCCTGAGTCACAGTGCGGGTTCGAATCCCGTATTGACTCAACCAAACAAAAGTACTAGAATCTGTACTTCACTGAGAAAGGGTAATGGTAAATTTTGACCACTTTCTAAATGGCATAGTGTATTCTATAGAACGTCGAAGATTGAAACCTTGTAAGGTTAAGACAACATTCCCACTGATGCTGGGTTTAAAACAGTTCAAGCACAACCAAATTCGTTGGTTACTTTTCTAGTTCCCGACTAAAGTCAGAGACGATCTAGCATCCTGGGATAACTGTTCCAGTGAGTAATAAGTAATAACCAGTTGTATAATTGGATCTAACATGGCAACACTTTATGTACCATTCTACATTGAAACAAATTATGTTCAATTTGTTTCAATGTAGAATAAATTATTATCGGTAAAATATGTGTGATTGTGCAATGTTCATGTTCGCGATCTAAACTCCAAACCATCTGTTTCAGATAATGCATCTGAGACGCAGTGGACCAACTTCTACCGTGAAATTAAACTGATGAAGTCTTTACCGAAATACTTCCATGTGGTGAATTACCTTGGCACCAACCACACACAAGGTATGATGGCGTTGGTCTGTTTGGTAGTACACATTGATATGTTGTATGACTGGAATCAACAAGAAATGTCGATGTCCAACGCGAGAGAGCGGGTGAATTTGGGTTGTCTCAATGACTCGCAGATTAATCTCGGGAAACAGCAGAAATGGAACCAGACTTTCGGCGGGGAGGGGTTGAGGAGCAGCGCCTTACCTACAACAGTTTTTGTATCAAGGTTACATCATTCAAGGCCTCTTTATAGCCTCAGGGATGACGTCGTTGACGTTATTTATTGACGTCACTACACAAAAGAAAAGTACAGGAGGACATGTTAACCCTGGCTTCGCGAACACCTGGTGTCATCACATATTTTCAATGATCATTTATTGCATTTTACAGCTACTTTTCCTGTAAACCTAATGAAATCTAGATCTGTTTCGAGGCTGGGTTTTTTGTGACTTTGTAGTCGATTTATAGATTCTTTACTCAAAACATTCACACAGGAGTTAAGCAGCTGACATCACACCAACAACGACGTCATAATCAACATGAGTTACGAAGCTGGGTTTTTTTCAAATTGCAGTTACCTCATAATCATTCCTCCTTCTGACAGATTCCCGTATGCTGATAATGGAATACTCGCCTTTGGGAAATCTCCTTCAGTTTTTACGCAAGAAACGCCTCAAGGTCTCCAGATCCGCCTTCACACCGTTATTGTCCAACGACTCAGAGAATCAAAGCAATGATGATGAAAGTGCCAACCTTGGTCTGACTTCGAAACAACTGACGATGTTCGCCTATCAGATAGCAAAGGGGCTTAGACATCTTCATAGGAACAAAGTAAGCATTTACCGATATATGGAAGTTTTTTCTGAAGGCAATGGTTTTCTTGAAAGGATAAGACAGCATATTTTTACAGTACCCTCCTACACACCGTCACGTGCGTCATATCATGATGTCATGGCGGTTGCTACATGACGTTACTTTTTCCGCGAAACAGCTGGCACAGTTCTCTCATTGAATATCAACACGGCGTTCGACGGTTTGAACAATGTTGATATTTACATCACACAAAAGTCTAACACCGAATATTGTGAGCTCGTAGTGTACATCTGTTTCATGTGAGGTGAGGTGAAATTGGGTTTAACGTCGTGCTTGAGAATATTTCGCTCATATGACGACGTGCATGCGTGTGTATGTGTATGTGTGGCTGCTTGTACTAGCCCAGACTGAAGATGGGTTTATAGTGCTAGCCCACTGAGATACCATTCCGCAGTGAAGCATGAATACCCCACTCAGACACATTATACTGACTCCGAGCCCCAGTCCTTGTTGCACCAATTAATGCCGAGCGCCAGGCAGGGACCAACAAGTACCATCTTTTAACGTCTTTTGGTATGACGCGGTCGGGCCTGTCTCATGTACAACACAATTCTGTCCGAATAGTTCGATGTTCTGCCAAAGAGGGAGTGCCGACGCGTGTGAACGCCGGTTGGACAACTTGTAGTTCAGGGCCTAGATTTTCGAAGCTCTCTTAGTACTCAGATAGTCGTAAGTTAATGTCAATTTATGGCATTTACGACTATCTTAGCGCTAAGAGTTTCGAAAGTCTAGGGCCAGAATTCTTTTGTCGGTCTTACACTCACAGTGCAATAAATTTATAGATGAATTTTTTTGTCAGATAATTCATCGTGACGTGGCTGCCAGGAATGTGCTACTGTTTGACAACTTGCAATGCAAGGTCGCCGACCTTGGTCTGGCGCGGCATCTGTCCGACTCTGATGGCGACGTTTACGAGACTAAATCGGAGGTACGCAATTCAACAATACCCTATCTCGGGACGACTCTGTGGACAGCTAATGTCAAGCTACCGGAGATAATCCATTCGTGCATTATAATATTCCATTCTATTTTTCTGGAACTTCCGGTTATCCGAACAAACAACATCCAAGTTCTTTCAGAGACCTTTTAGAAGTTGTAAAGATGAAGGAAAACCAGTTTTCTATGGATAGTCAACTTCTTTATTGCAATGAGTGCGACGTTTCTGTGCAGGTACTTACACTGTTATCAAGTTGTGTCAGTACCTACACTGAAACGTCGCACTCATTGCCATGAAGAAGTTTTCTACATCCAACTGCCGATAAAAAAAAACGCAAACGATCCAGTACAGAAATTAGAACACTTGAAAACTTACACTAGTTAATACTTTTGATTGAAAATATTTTTTTCGAAATATAAGATAACCTATATACCTTTTTTGTCGGCTCACATAGAACTCGTTTTGTGCAAATGTGAATAGGATAATATACTGTGTCAAAAAAGAAACTTCACATTCTTTCTTCAGGGCACTATAAAAGAACAAGAGATGGTAAAATGGTGGAATTGTTATTATTTCATTGCTGAGATCTGTGTGATGTACTCGATACAATGACAGTGTCATAATCAGTTCAATTAGGCTACACCGCCGTTCCAAAACATGGGTATACAGAATGTCAAGTCACAAGAATAAAAATGCGAAATTTCTCAATTCAATATTGTCTATGGCCGCCACGCGCATTCACCACTGCCAAACACCCTCTCCTCATCGAGTGCCTGATGCTTGTGAACACGTGGTTGGGGATTCTGCGCCATTGCTCTTGCAAGGCAGCGCCAAGTTCCTGCAAATTCTGAGGTTGGTTCCTAAGACCACGAAGCCTTCTCCCAAGTGCATCCCAAACGTGCTCTATTGGATTAAGGTCAGGGGACCTCGATGGCCAGTCCATGACGTTGATTCCAGCATTTTGAAGGAAATTTCGTGTCAACATCGCGGTATGCAGCCGAGCATTATCATGCTGGGACTGTAGATCTGGGCCATGAGCCGCCATGAAAGGAACGAGTTCAGGGGTGAGCAGCTGGTCGCGGTAAGCAGCAGCTGTAAGGTTTCCACGGATGACCAGAAGTCGGGAACGGTTGTTCCCACAGAAAGCACCCCACACCATGCAACTTCCGCCCCCCGAATCTGTCGACTTCCTGTACACAACATTGGGCATACCGTTCACGACGTCGTCTCCAGACTCTATGCCTGCCGTCCGCGAATCTGAGGGTAAACCTGGATTCATCCCTAAAGACGACTCGATTCCAGTCTCTCTGGGTCCATCGGAGGTGACGTTGGGCCCACAGCAGACGTTGACGTTGATGAAACGGCGTCAATATTGGCCCACGATATGGACGTCGAGAATGGAGATTGGCAGCCCGCAACCGATTTCGAATGGTCTGTGAGGACAGTCGACCTCTAAACATCTCAGCCCTGGTTCGTGTAGCCGGCAGAAATCTGTCACGTAGGTGACGCAGGACGATTTGACGGTCTTCTGCTCGTGACGTCACACGTGGACGACCCGACCTTGGGCGATCAGAAGTGGTGCCAGTTTGTTGTAGACGACCTCGCAAGTCATACACAGTACGACGGCTGCGTCCCATTGCTCTTGCGACGTCAATAACTGATCTTCCCGCTTGCAACATGCCAACGGCACGTTCACGTTGCACATTTGACAATCGTGGCATTACAGGTACTGTTAGAGCCGTGGTTTAAAAGTGCTTTTTCAATTCTTGAGGCCAATGCAAACACGTGCATATGAAGAAAACTTCGATGCGAAGATCACGTGATCGACTGCAGGTGCAAAACCTGATTTGGCACTAACGTCATTTGCACGACGAATGGATGGGTTTGAGTGGGTTTTGCTAACGTTTTCTAGAGTCGAAAGATAGGGATCCCATGTCGGATACATAGATGTATCATCAGAGAAAAATTATTCATTATTTTTAAAAATTACATTTTGTGAAGTTTCTTTTTTGACTCAGTTTATATACGTTCACTGATAAATCAGTTTAGCTTCGATCAATCAGATGCATTATGGTAATGTTGAACCTGTCTTTCACCTTGAACGGGGTTCACCTTGTCGCGCGGTTGTCGAGTCTTAAATATTGTTTAATTCTGTCAGGAATGGTTTCTCAGATCCAAATCTCCATTGTTGTCATGGTTACTGTCACAGGGGCCCCTCCCTGTGCGCTGGATGGCCCCTGAGTCTCTCCGAGACCGCATCTACACCTCCAAGTCTGATGTTTGGTCCTACGGCATCCTGCTCTGGGAGATTGTTACACTCGGTAAGTATACTCCCCATGGAGAAGAGAATATGGATATTTGAGTATTACCGTTCAGTTTTGGTAATGAATAGGCGTTCAGCTTCTGACGTTTGTCACAAAATGTTGTTAGACACTGGGACTGAGACTGTCCAATTATTGTCACCCGAACACTTCCAGTCTTTTGAACTACGATCGTTACACTTCACGGTATTTACATTTTACAGCCGCTTAATAACATCTCTCCGTAGACTCCGAAGCAGGATATTTTTTATTTGAAATGGTTAAATCACTTTTAGAAGAATACTCTTGGAGTATTGAAAGGGTTATACTGCTTCTAGCAGAATATTCACTGAGTTCTGAAATGGCTTTATCACTGCTTTTAATATAAACTCACCCTAGACTCCGAGGCAGAATATATTTATTTGAAAAGGTTTTTAGCAATATATTCTTGGAGTGCTGAAAGGGTTTTTCCGCTTCTAGCAGAATATTAATTGAGTTCGCTTATTTTACTTTGCTTTATTGCAGTAGATGCACTGTGATACACGGTGATACACTGTGATACACCGTGATACCGTGATACACCGTGATACACCGTGGTACACCGTGATACACCGTGATACACCATGGTACACCGTGGTACACCGTGGTACACCGTGATACACCGCGATACACCGCGATACACCGTGATACACCGTGATACACCGCGATACACTGTGATACACCGTGATACACCGTGATACACTGTGATACACTGTGATACACCGTGATACACTGTGATACACCGTGATACACCGTGATACACTGTGATACACCGTGATACACCGTGATACACCGTGATACACTGTGATACACTGTGATACACCGTGATACATTGTGATAGACTGTGATACACTGTGATACACCGTGATACACCGTGATACATTGTGATAGACTGTGATACACCGTGATACACTGTGATACACTGTGATACACTGTGATACACTGTGATAGACTGTGATACACTGTGATACACTGTGATACACTGTGATACACTGTGTATATTACCCTCATTTTTATGAATGATAAAGGACCATTCTTAAGCCATGTTTTCGTCAATCTGTATAATCCGGACGGTTTGTTAGCTACATGAACTGTTCTCCATGATTACTTGGATTCACGTGATTACTTGAATAATCACAGATGAAATCACGTGGTCTGTGATGTGTTTGCACAGGGGGCAGCCCATACCAAGGGAGGTCGGCCCGCCAGGTCGTGCAGGACGTACTGAATGGACAGACGATGTCCAGGCCTGACCACTGTGCCCCCGAGATGTGAGTTATTAGGAAGATGGTCGATATCAGCAGATGTTATTGGTTACAGGGCTGTCATTTGTCGGAAAATGAATATAGCTGGTTGACATTAACAGGTGTTATTGGTTACGGGGAGGTGAGGTATTGGGAAGATGGATATAGCTGGTTGATATTAGCAGATGTTATTGGTTACAGAGCTGTGAGTTGTCGGGAAGATGGATATAGCTGGTTGATATCAGCAGGTGTTATTGGTTACAGAGCTGTGAGTTGTCGGGAAGATGGATATAGCTGGTTGATATCAGCAGATGTTATTGATTACAGAGCTGTGAGTTGTCGGGAAGATGGATATAGCTGGTTGATATCAGCAGATGTTATTGATTACAGAGCTGTGAGTTGTCGGGAAGATGGATATAGCTGGTTGATATCAGCAGGTGTAGTTGGTTACAGAGCTGTGAGTTGTCGGGAAGATGGATATAGCTGGTTGATATCAGCAGGTGTAGTTGGTTACAGAGCTGTGAGTTATTGGGAAGATGGATATAGCTGGTTGATATTAGCAGGTGTTATTGGTTACAGAGCTGTGAGTTGTCGGGAAAATGGATATAGCTGGTTGATATCAGCAGATATTATTGATTACAGAGCTGTGAGTTGTCGGGAAGATGGATATAGCTGGTTGATATTAGCAGGTGTTATTGGTTACAGAGCTGTGAGTTGTCGGGAAGATGGATATAGCTGGTTGATATCAGCAGATGTTATTGGTTACAGAGCTGTGAGTTGTCGGGAAGATGGATATAGCTGGTTGATATTAGCAGATGTTATTGGTTACAGAGCTGTGAGTTGTCGGGAAGATGGATATAGCTGGTTGATATCAGCAGGTGTTATTGGTTACAGAGCTGTGAGTTGTCGGGAAAATGGATATAGCTGGTTGATATTAACAAGTGTTATTGGTTACAGAGCTGTGAGTTATTGGGAAGATGGATATAACTGGTTGATATCATCAGATGGTCTTTGCTTCAGTGCAACACTCTGACTTCATCTAAATTTCATTATTAAGTTCGCATTATATTCCAGTAATAATACCCGTGGAGCATACAAGCAAAGATTGTGGAATAACCATGACATGTTTGTCTGACCGCATACAATTAAGGCGGTTTATTGGTACAGCTTATAACTCAAAGATATTTTCAATTGACTGGTTAGATCAAAGGCAAATGTTCACATAAACCATGCTTTCAGTGACATAAGATTGTCCTATAACCCTCTCTTGAAATTGCTGAAGTTCTTACAAATGCGAAAACGCCGATATAAATGTAATGTTTCGACACTGAACACGTATCAAGGTCTATTTTCGCAAACTTAGCCTGGCATATCTGATAATAATGAAAGGGCAATAACTCTCTGGGCGTCGTCAGCTCGCTGTCAAAATGTCAGTGAAACGAAAATCCGGAAGATAAATACGTTATCAATCATTCCCTATTGGCATATGGCTTGATATACCCTGTGTCAGTGCACATGTACCTGAACACCGGGTATACCACCCCTGACTATCAACAATATAATGAAAGTCTATCCGTGACGAAATGCTCAATGACAACAGGTTTATTTGGACATCTGATACTATCGTTAAAACAGGTATGAAGGTCAGCTCGTTGCAAAGTACATATTTAAGTTCCATAAAAAATGCGTTCACTACCCACATTTCCTTCCTACAGGGGCGGTGGGGTAGTCTAGTAGTTAAAGCGTTGGCTCGTCACGCCGAAGACCCGGGTTCGAATCCCCACATGGGCACAATGAGTGAAGCCCATTTCTGGTGTCCCCCGCCGTGATATTGCTGGAATATTGCTAAAAGCGGCGTAAAACCAAACTCAGTCAGTCAGTCCTTCCTACAGATTCGACATGGTTATTTGTTTTGAATAAAAAGATATGCTGTAGTAAAATTATACTGCTTCCCTTAATGTCTTGAAACACACTTTCCTGCAATGTTTCAATATTAGAATCTATTTATTTTACGTGTGAATTAAGAACCTGGGCCTAGATTTTCGAAGTTCTTTTAGCGCCAAGATAGTCGTAAGTACCATACATTAACATAGTTACGTAAGATAGGCGCTAAGAGAGCTTCGAAAATCTGGGCCCAGTGGTGTTAAGCTGCTGATCCAACACAGCGCTATCGCTTCTCGTTCTGCAGGTTCTCTCTGATGAAGAAGTGTTGGCGACAGGATCCGGAGTCCAGACCGGACTTTGAGGCTCTGAGCCGACACCTCGACACCCTGTTGGAGGAGTCTAGCAACTACATCAAGCTGCTGGACTACCAGGATCACCTGTACACGATCATCCAGGGGTCGTCTAAAAGTGATGCAGAAGAAAAACTCTGACAATTTTTAATTGATGTGCATCCATCAAATTGAAACTACCCATAGTATAATATCTACTGAGTCAAAAAAGAAACTTCACATTCTTCTTCAGGGCACTATAAAAGAACAAGAGATGGTAAGATGGTTAAATTGTTATTATTTCATTGCTGAGATCTGTGTGATGTACTCGATACACTGACAGTGCCATAATCAGTTCCATTAGGCTACACCGCCGTTCCAAAACATGGGTATACAGAATGTCAAGTCACAAGAATAAAAATGCGAAATTTCTCAATTCAATATTGTGTATGGCCGCCCCGCGAATTCACCACTGCCAAACACCCTCTCCTCATCGACTGCCTGATGCTTGTGAACACGTGGTTGGGGATTCTGCAAATTCTGAGGTTGGTTCCTAAGACCACGAAGCCTTCTCCCAAGTGCATCCCAAACGTGCTCTATTGGATTAAGGTCAGGGGCAAGTCCATGACGTTGATTCCAGCGTTTTGAAGGAAATTCAGTGTCAACATCGCGGTATGCGGCCGAGAATTATCATGCTGGAACTGTAGACCTGGGCCATGAGCCGCCAAGAAAGGAACGAGTTCAGGGGTGAGCACTCGGTCGCGGTAAGCAGCAGCTGTAAGGTTTCCACAGATGACCAGAAGTCGGGAACGGTTGTTCCCACAGAAAGCACCCGACACCATGCAACTTCCGCCCCCGAATCTGTCGACTTCCTGTACACAACATTGGGCATACCGTTCACGACGACGTCTCCAGACTCTATGCCTGCCGTCCGCGAATCTGAGGGTAAACCTGGATTCATCGCTAAAGACGACTCGATTCCAGTCTCTCTCTGGGTCCATCGGAGGTGACGTTGGGCCCACAGCAGACGTTGACGTTGATGAAACGGCGTCAATATTGGCCCACGATATGGACGTCGAGAATGGAGATTGGCAGCCCGCAACCGATTTCGAATGGTCTGTGAGGACAGTCGACCTCTAAACATCTAAGCCCTGGTTCGTGTAGCCGGCAGAAATCTGTCACGTAGGTGACGGAGGACGATTTGACGGTCTTCTGCTCGTGACGTCACACGTTGACGACCCGACCTTGGGCGATCAGAAGTGGTGCCAGTTTGTTGTAGACGACCTCGCAAGTCATACACAGTACGACGGCTGCATCCCATTGCTCTTGCGACGTCAATAACTGATCTTCCCGCTTGCAACATGCCAACGGCACGTTCACGTTGCACATTTGACAATCGTGGCATTTCAAGTACCGTTAGAACTGTGGTTTAAAAGTGTTTTTTCAATTCTTGAGGCCAGTGCAAACACGTGCATATGAAGAAAACTTCGATGCGAAGATCACGTGATCGACTGCACGTGCAAAACCTGATTTGGCACTAACTTCATTTGCACGACGAATGGATGGGTTTGAGTGGGTTTTGCTAACGTTTTTCTAGAGTCGAAAGATAGGGATCCCATTTCGGATACATAGATGTATCATCAGAAAAATTATTCATTATTTTTCAAATTACATTTTGTGAAGTTTCTTTTTTGACTTGTGACATCATTTCCAGGAGCGTAGCTACGATTATAAAAAGAGCCTAGCTTACACATGATTTTTGCTGTGAAAGTTGGGCAAGCCCTCAATACTATTCAGATATAAATATTTGCAACCTATCGGACGAAAAAATGGCTTGTTACGTGCCTGATTTCGTCATCGTTTAAGATCACAGCCAGTGATGAGACTATTTGAATGTTCCGTTTGTCATTAGATTTAGTCGGTAGTGACATAAGCACGTCGAGTGCAGTGCTTATCACGTCAGATGAGTGTTCCAAATGTTGGTGTGCATAAGTTGTGTACGAATATAAAGAGATAAAGAAAAGGTTTAATCTTATTCAAGAGTTGAAAGCATCTGTCAGAGTATCCCCGTGTATGATTCCAACAAAGGCAAAGGGCTCGTGTTAATTGTGTTATTACCTCGGTGAATTAGCAATATTCCAGTAATATCAAGACTGGGATAGCAAATGGGCTTCACAAAGTGTACCCATGCTGGGAATCGAACCTGGATCTTCGGGACGAACACTGCAACCACTTGGCTACCCCATCGCCCCGTCATTTCGTGAATGCCCTGAGATGCATCACTGTGACGGGGTGGTCCTCATTGCGAATGGATACAATAGGGAATAATGCTGAAGGTGGCTTCACCCGATGATGAACCAACATTTGTCATTAAGGAATACCTATCGTTAAGCGTTGTTGTAACTTTTCGTCTGCCTTTCTTCCCTATCAATAAACAAATCATCAATATCTTGGTGTTCAGTTATCCTCCTCCGGGTCTAGGTATTTAACACAAAAGACATGGGCTCAACAAGCATGGGAGGTAGTTCAGATACTGCAAGTCTGGTTAGTCTGTCTACCGAGGTTTACCTCTATACATGTTATGTTAAAGTGCTTCCAATTTTGACTTAAAGTTCGGAATTCGGGATTCCATGCCTCACCAGATATGGAAAATATCATCCCTATTTTTACATAAAAATACACCAAATATCTTCGCAAAAAGTGGTTTTGGCAAAAACATTGATATTCTGTTGAATTATTTCATTAGTTAAAGATCGTTAGATTTTGGTTAAGACAAATATCACAAGAATGTATTACAATATTGAGTAAAGCATACATCTTCCAATATGCAAAGCTGAAATTTGTGGTGTTTGCTGGGATTTTGATGTAAAAACATTTACAGAGGCCTGGATTATAAATATGGATTTACAGAGGCCTGGATTAAACAAGGTGTTACTGGAAATAAATCCAGCTTTAGGTTCAAATTCCAATTCCGTCGAAGGCCGGAATTCAGCAAATATCTCTGCATGCATTCAGGTGAAGGCATTCCATTTATTAATCTCGGTTTTCGATAAAGTTAACGCCTGAACTACCCCGAATTTACAAATTTGGTCAAAACTGGAGATTTTTTTAATTTTCCAAGAAACAAAAAATGTTCGATGAAAATGAATTGCCGGAGATAGACATTCACTTCTGCCAAAATGTTCATTCCCCTTACACGCGAGACGCAAGCCGTGTCAGTCATGTGGAACCCGGTGACCAAGCGTGTGAGGCCCGTGTGACGCGCATTGCACACGGGTGTGAGTCGCGATGGTTACTCGTGTACAACCCGTGACACATGCATTTCGGAGGGAGCAAACGTTTAAGCAAAAGAAGAACCTTTGTAAAACTTGAAGGTAGTAACATAGAAATCAATTTTAAATTATCTGATGAAGTCTCTCAATATGCAGGGGCGTAGGAACGGGGGCTTACCATAACTACAATTTCATTTTGATTTTCAATACTTTTCATAAATCCCCACCCCCACACCCACCCCCACCCCCACCCCACCCCCACCCCACAGAGGAAGATAAGAGCGATGTGATCAATCAGACCCATCTTGTACATATGACGGTACTGTCATTTTTGACAGCGCCTTGGTTGCTGATCCGTTAAGGTGTGAAGTTTCGCTGTCAAAACTGGGGTAACTAGCTGTACCAATTAAGGGTAATTATAATGATAATATTGAAGTCATCTTCTATAGCGCTGATTCTTATTACCCCGGATAACCCAAGCTGCCTGTTATTCGCTAGAAGGTAATACTCATCTGACTTTATCCAACCGGGTACCCATGCGGCCGTTTTCTGCTGGGTGAACAGAGGCAGTTTGAACAAACTCACTTACCTAAGGTGAGACCACATGCATCACATGTGGGGGAAACTCTCAGGAGTCAAGCTGCCAAACACGGTCACCCATCCAAGGATTGTCCGGTTGTTCTCATTCCCTGGTCCTTAGCTTATTGCTTTATGGTGCAATTAGTGGTACCGGTACCACCCCTCACCCCCTGCTAAAGTGCGTTTTCGGCTAATGGCGTCTGGTGTATATTGCAATCAGCATTTTTGGGGCGTTTTCCCTTCTCTGGAGTAATTATTCAATCAACGATAGGGTTTTAGTGTACACTGGATCATTGGTGATTTTAGTGCCACAGTGCAGAGTAGCAACATTCAACAGGTTCATAGATGTTAGGGACAGTACGTCGACGGTTCTGGTTGCAGGAAACACTGTAGTAGTAGTAGTAGTAGTAGTAGTAGTAGTAGTAGTAGTAGTAGTAGTAGTAGTAGTAGTAGTAGTAAAATGTTTATAAAGTGTCACGCGCACAACATTTACATTAAAATACAGAATCACATAAAACATTTCAAAGGAAGTGCGTCCAGCCATACATGGACTTACGAGACACTATATATATATATCCATTATAACTAGATTAATGGTGCACACACGATAGAAATAAGATGGGAAATAGAAATTTAGGCAGATTGTAGATAAGACACACTGATAACAACAGCAGGCTCCTCGATAAAACAACAAAAGAGAAAGAGAATTCTTAAAATAATCATAATAAATTAAGTCCAAAAATGAAAGAAATAGAATGCATTTGCTAATTCCTTTTGTACAACATCGGAATTTATTATATAAATCAATTTATTTTCATCACAAAGGTGATTAAACTTACGGTTGCTTTCTGCAGCTGCCTTAAAAAGGTTAAAATTAATGAGCACGACTCAATTGTCCCTGTGTCTTATATAGTGGCCTCGTGCATGTTGTTTAAAAAGACAAATTGAACAAAGAACATTTGTTCAAGGTCACATGCAACCAAAAAATCAAACATAATTAAAACACAATTATCACTTATTCGTGACATATAATATACATTGCTGGTTATGAAAAAACATATAAACAAAATTATAAGCGTACAATCGCAAATCAAAAGTGCAATATTGTGTACTTCGGTTTACTTCCCAAGAAACGAAGCAGCCGGGATACCGAATCCAGTCAGAGCGGATGGGTGTGCACTCAAGTGTAACGGCTGGTTCATTTGCGTATTCCCTCACGGCTTATTGTGAGTCTATATGTAGAGATGTTGGGTTTTGTAAATACATGCTCATGTTTTGTGTATAACATTTTGCAATCAACAGACATCATAACATGTAAAGTGTTCAACTATCACACCTGCCTGTCTGTGTAATTACATAATGTGACAGAGACCGAACTCGGGCCATAAATCAATGCATTTTGTTTATGGTGTATAGCCTGATGGACCAGCCTGATTGGTGTTAGGTTCAAATTGCATGTGGTCAGTGATAGCAGCTGTGTATTAAATATTGTCATTAGCAGACAGGCAGGCAGACACACAGGTGTCAATAAAACAAGACATTGAGTTTTGTCTGTGACAACGACATATCTATATCACAGTTAGAAATTCTGTCGACGCTAAATAATGACATTGCTTTTAGTATCGAACTGAGAAAGTGACTCGGTAAGAAGAACGTGTGGTGAAATTATATAAACAGTTAATTTACTGTCATAACATATAAAAAAGCTCGCGCCTGCGAGATATCAACAAAACATTAGAAAAATAGCTCACACCAAAGCCTTCACCGAGTATTCACCGGACAACCCGCTTCCAAGCTGCGCGAACCTATTTCACTGCGCACGTGCTATGAGCGCAGCCCAGCTGTTGAAACCCGTTTTCCCCAGAAAAGTCGGGGGAAAATTAGTGAAACGTTTGAACGGTTTTTTTCATCGCGTTATTTTTCAACTTTATAAGTTGAATTTGCATTTTTTGACGATTTGTTTCGGTAAGTCCATACCGAAAGGTATCAGAATCTGCAGAGTTGTGTTTTATGTTGCATGTGACCTTTCACTTCTCACATGCGAGCTACAAAATGCTGATTGCTAGTTTGACGAAGCCTGGAGATGAAGCCTAGATCTATATACACATCATGACTGTTCTGGAATATGCTGCCTTGGCCCCAATGTCGTTACTGTCTTAAGCCGATTTAGTATTTCAATGTTATGTCTAGTACATTATGCCTGAAACAGGACTGTTTTGTCTTTGTAAGTAGCCAGTGAATCTTCAAGCTAGCTGACTAATAGCCATTGATATCCACTTTCTGTTGACAAAGAAAAGGACTACTTTAAAAATAACCCGATATACATCAACTCTGCAAACGAATGTTTCATGACTCTTAAAAGATCGTTTGATATCGTAACAAACCTCTTGTAGAACCGGACTAACCGGTTATTTGCGCAGCGATTACTTGTCTCAGATTTGCTGGATCAGATACTCAAATCAAAACACATTGTCCGTTGGCCCGCAATATGATGGACGGCGCTTTGATGTTGCGAGCCAGCCAGCCAGACAGGATATGTATTACAGTCTCACCTCCTTGACATGAAATAGTACAGCATTATATACAGAAGAAATACATGAGCCACTCCATTTGGAGTTATGAGGGACTATCCGTTAAAACCGTATACAATAGAAATATAACTTGTTAAAGTACAATATGACACGAGAAGCATATTATATATATTGTACTAATTTTCCATCTGGTTGTCAAAAATATGTTTACATGTTTGGGCACATAAAAGGGCTATACCTAAGCCACCAAACATGCACGTAGCAGACGTAAACAATAATAATAACATAGTTTATTATCATGTCATGTGTAAAAACATATAAATGCATAGATATTCCTTTATAAAACACCGGGCAATTACTGGCCGAAAAGACACCTGGCATAACATTACAACAATATTTACCAACATTTTTTCAAAAGAACTCATTCATAAAACTCAACCGAACAAACATCCCTTTACACACCTTAGCTTACACAACATCAGGATCGTGTCAAAATAGGATTATTTCTTATTGCATATCAAGGGACCCGTTCAGATGTAATGTTTCGTCATGTGTCTGTGCCCAGTGAATCCACCACCAACCTGATCTACAAAATATATATAGTAATAGCAATAGCATGTATTTATTCCCATATTGAGGTGAGGTGAGGTGAGGTGAGTGAATATGAGGTATGAAAATGAACGAATATTTGAGCTTCATTGTTTCTTATGATTCACCCTTCCTGTGAGGCTAGGGCATTAGTTTTGGTGACTGTGTTCTTTTATAAGTGCTCCATGTAAAGGCGTTATATTTAGTTTTTAGATAATATTATCTAATTAAAATAATACTTTACAAAATTATATTATCCTCAAAAAATATTCCTAAAGTGGCAAAGTAAATACCAAAATTCAAAATCATACTTGAGTTCAGTTGAGTTGGGTTTTACGTCACATCGGCATTATTCCAGCAATATAGAGACCAGATCAAGTCTGCATTCATAAACATTTTAAGTACAATGTCCAAATGAGTTTTATTTTCAAAACATATATATATTCATTACATTATTACTTAAAAACGGAAAATGCAAAATCACAACTAAATAATCTATCAAATGGAAACACTTAAATAAATAAAAATATCATAAATCTAGAAATATTTGCGGGACAAAAGCCATATTACCACCAGGCCATACAAAATTAAATTCTAAACAGACAAATTCACACAGTGCAACGAAACCGAAACTCCCGAGCACGTCCTACTACACTGCATACACTACCAACAACACAGAATGGTGCTCCAGAGTTCACTCACACCTAACACTACAAACACTTTTAAGCTCACTAAATAACACCCAAACATTCAAAGCCTTAGGTATAATTATTATTCTACCATGACTTCAGTAAACACTGGATTGTGATTGGTTAATTAAAGTCATTCAGAGGTATATAATCACGTTATACAGGTCTCTGATTTTCCGTGCGCAATCAAACATGGTTTACGGTAATGCAC